AGGGTAAAACCCCCCCCCCCCCCCCCCCCGCCACCCCCCCTTTATCTTCTCTCCCAGTCGTTCTGGGCAGGAGAAGAGGGAGGTTGATCTCGACCAAAGGTGTTTCTTCCTCTGCCCCTACCCCCTACGTCTATCTTTCGGTATCTCAGCTTGCCGTGTCTGTTCCTGCCGCTGAAAACATTGGACGTGATCTCTACATGGGATTTTTTGTTTTCGTTCCCTGCCGATCATACCACCCCCCTTAGTCCCATCTTCCTGCCCCCTCTGGTGGTACAAGGGTAGTACCGATTGTTCTGCCACCTCCCTCGAAATTGCTGACCAATAGGAAAAGTCGTGCGTTCCTTGACACGTGTGTCTCCGACAATGCTAGCTGCTGCAATACTCTATCCGTTGTTGTGTGTTTGTTCCCCATCATGCCAATCTTGGTTGCACCGCTTTTGTCCCTTGGGTCCCGTCTGTCCAGTTGTTGGTGGATGTCTTCTTGCTCCCTCTACAGAGATGGGCGAAGGAGCTTGAGGCTCAGCAGGACCCTGTTCTTGACCACGCAGCGGTGCATGGCGGCAGCATTCAAGCACGTTCGGCGCCAAGTTTCACACAAGCAGGTATATGCATGTGCATACGTGCACATCATCAGTCATGCATCTAGTTCTTGGCATGGATTTTATTTTGGTATGGTTTTTGGTGGGATTGGCGTGTTTGCGAGACGTCTCCCGGTAATTTAGAGTCAGGACCAGAACCCGTTTCGTTCCGGCTGGCCACGGGTTGGGCTCGTTTCCATGGAAGGGACCCGTGGAAGGGAGGGACTCATGGGAGGGGGGTGGAAGACGCACCTGGAATGGGATAGGAACAGGGTGGCTTTGCCAGCTTTGTGCCCACAGGGTGTGGTGTTGGCCGTGTGCGTCGTGCATGGCTAGTACATAGATAAGCGCGGGGCATTAGTTCTACCGCATTGGGCCGCGTTGGGCCGCACACACAAACGATCCGATTTTACAGTGTTCCATGACTTGGTTCTGCTGCACTCTTGTGTCCACCACAGTTGATCTACAGCAGCAGCGGCAAGGTTTCTCATTTGCCCGTGCATGAAGTATGTGCATCCGGCCGCTGTATGCTTTCGTGATGTTGTTTTTTCTTGCTGTGTGTATCCAACATAGAGAGAGGAGTAGCCAATCTCGACTTTCAGTGAAGCCTAGCCGTACTTCTTTCGTCTTTCGTGTGCCTTTGCGTGCTTGACCAAATCCACTTGGCCAGAGAGCGGGACGACTCTTCGTCATGCCATGTAGTTACGAAACGTCGTGGGTAACTCCAAACACTTTCACGGCCTGACTGCTGTTCCAACATTTTCACAATACAGTAGTCGGTGAAGACTAATGGATAGATAGATAGTCCCCGTGGTAGCAACGTAGCACACCACAGCAGACCAAGCACTTGAAACGTCTATCTTATCTTCCCACCGTTTTTCCTCTCTTACCCCCTTGCCCTTCGATAACTCGAAACGTCTTTTCGTTTCCACTCCTCCTCGCGGTATAGTATATCCCGTATTCCCCATCTCTCGTCGAAACCCTTCGGTCCCACCGCCATCCCATCCCCCCCATTCTGCACTCACGCACGCACTTTCGACTTGGACGAAGACTGCAAGGAGATCTTCGCCAACACGCTCGAGCTGGCGCACTTCAACCGGCAGTTTTTGCTCGATCTCCGAAAAGCGCACGGCGGTCCCTTCGTGCCAGGAAGCGTGGGCGTCGTATCTCCGGTTTCCACCTCCACCGAATGCAACGAATGGAGAAAGGTGTGTCCGCGCACATGGCAGCTTGTTGTTGTTGTTGTTGTTGTTGTTGTTGTTGTCGGCTTCCCATTACAAACCGTTCCGATATCTCGCCCAGCACCTCCATCTTTCCGTATTGATGCACCGTTTGCAAACGGGTTGCTTATCATAGTTTGGTGCCGCTGTAGTCTGCGCGTTAGAGAGTCAAGTCCAGACTCACCTCTCTCTAGGATGCTGCAGGAGGGGGGGGTCGGAGGTGTTTTCGCCGTCGATCCGATGTCGTCCGCGTTGTTTTGTCCTCTATCCCTCTTTGACTTGCCTGTTTTTTGTGTGTATTAGCAAATGACAATGGCATGCATGTTCTGTTCCATCCCTCTTTAGCTGCCCCTTTTTTGTTTTATTCCAACAAACTGTGTATGTAATGTCCATGGTATGTTAACGGTTTCCCATCCTATCTATCGACCCTATTTTTGTATTCTACATTTGTATTTCATGTTTACACCAGATGTTTCCAACCAGTTATTTCCCAATACCAGTTGTTTCCCATCCCTCTTCAGCTGCCCTGTTTTTGTTTCATGACAAGAAACTATACATGTTGCTGACAATAAAAAATAGTAGAGGTAAATGTTACGTTATACTGCAATATGTTGATACCAGGGTATATGTTATCTTAATACTGCCATATGTTAATACCAGGTAACCTCGGCGGGGAGGGACTGTTTAGAGGGCGAAGACATCGGGGACCCCTTGCGACCGACGAGCCCGAACATCTCAGAAAAGGGGCCCCGCCAAATGCTACAAGTGTTCCTCAAATCAGCACCGTTCTTGAAGGTGAAAGGCTATTTTTTGTGGTACCAGGCAGAGGCCAGTATGGGTCAAGCCAGGCGTTTCCTTTGCATGCACGATAGTAGCTAGGCTTGCGAAGCGTTGTCAAAGTAGCGACAGTTTGAGTTCAAGGGTGAAGTACTTTGTTGATGTAGCGGTGTGTGCCCGAAATCGCTATGCTGCCAAGGGTGTTGCTTGAGGCTTTCCGCTCGATCTACCGTAGCTTGACAGTAGTACAGTAGTAGTGCCGTGAAAAAGCAGAGGACGTTGTTGTTGGTGGTCTTGCTAGCGTTCACCTGTGCCTTTGGATGATGATGCTGCCGTTCGGTGGTATGAGGATGAGTAATGCAGACTACCAACCCGGAAAAAAATCGTATATTGTGGTACCATGGTAATTTGTTTGATGGAACGGCAGTCTCACTGGTCTAGTGGATTGATTTTTGTAGCTGACACTCGGCTATCTTTTGCGATTCCTGAGGCAGCGAACGTCCCAACAGTCCCAGTTCCATATCTCGAAGTGTCTGCGATGGTACTTTGAACCATTATGCTGCTGCGGCGCAGCCATAGGCTTCTGTTGGCTCGCTGCAGGGCGCGGAAGTTAGGCATGCGTGTACAAACGAACATTTAATCACGCATCCAGACGTGCGAGGATGAGTTTAATTCCCCCGTATCTAACTCGTCTACACGGGCGTGGGTGTCTACGCGTAGCGGGCATGACATCGAAGCACCAAGGCACACGCTCTCTCTTTGGCTGCAGATGCGTTGCTGCATACCCTCGGGTTTTCTGAGTAAGTGGTGTAGTTGTGCTTGTACCGGTCTTGTAGTATCGTGTGTCTGACCTGACCACTTGCCCCCCGCACCACGAAAAACAAAAATCCACAGATGTATTCGGAGTACGTGAACAACTTCGACACTGCGCGAGAGAGGCTGACGGCGCTGGAGAGAGATAACTCCAGCTTCAGCGCCTTCCTCACCGCGTGCGAGAAGCAGAAGCCGTGTCGCGGTCTGCACCTCAGGGACTTTCTGGTTTTACCCGTACAGGTATATTGTCATCTTGTACATACATGTGTAGTCGGACTGCTGTGCATGTTTCCGTCAATCTATGCTTTTATGTATAAATGCAGTATATCGGATATCTAGTCTATTTTGTATGTATCTATCTTTCCATCCATGTATCTGGCTTTCAATCTCTCCTTTGCGTTGTCTCTCGTCTCTGCCTGTCATTAATTTTATCCTCTAGCCGCTAAAATGCTTTCGGTACACGCGTGCCCCTTCGAACATGCCATCCTCTATTTTCGCCCTATCCACCAAATGATGAAAAATGTTGGGTGGTTCGTCTCCGTGTCTTGGAGTCTGTCTCACGGCAAGGGCCGTCCTATCTGGTATGCTAGAATGTTTTTGTTTTTTTTGGCGATGACGTCACATCTGGGCGTGTTGTTCTTGTTGTTTCTCCGTGCCGACAGCGTATCCCGCGATACCGGCTGTTGCTGGAGACTATTCTGCAGTACACGTCGATCGATAGCAACATGCACTCGGCCGTGGAGGAGAGCTTGAGCACCATGGGCGGGATCGCTTCCAAGATAAACTCGGACTTGTCTCTCAAGCTTAAGAGGAACAAGGTGTGCCGCATGTCATCGATAGCAGTTAGGGGAAACAGGTGTGACGAAAGACCTCAGTCTCCGGAGGTTATCGCGTTTGTCCGTCTAGGTTTGAAATATTACAGAATTTTTAGCTTTAAGGTTGGACAGCAGATTTCACGGTGTGCAAGCAGCAAGCACTGCTGTGTCGCTTGATCCGGTTTATTGCATCCCATTTGCTTTTGAGGTCCGTATGTCCATCAGGAAAAAATGAAACAATGACAGTAGTATGCAAAACCCGACATGACACCACTCCTTGCTGTAGTTGTTTCGGAGGACACCGGAACGAAATGTAATGGTTACTGTTCATCGACCCTGACGGACTATCCCTCTTGTTGCCTCTAGCTGTAACGTAGCTGGTTTTTCAACAGTAAGAAATACAAGCAGTTGTGGCAGTACCTGCAATCCTCTCTTCCCCCTCTTGCTTTGCAGCCTTTTGTGTGGGCGACAGTTAATTCCGCGTTCTAGACTCGATGTGTCGTGCAATTAGTAAATTTAGCGGGCGTTTGGAAGGTGATATAGCTACTGCTGTGCCCCATCTCTCGCGGCGAATGATACTGGACGTGGGACGTGGGATGTATGATGAAACTGCGGTGACGTATGGACACTTGATTTGGTGTCTTGTATCACTTCCTCCCTGCTGGGGTACACTGTTGATCGATGTGTTGTTGGATTAATGGTCTGCGTACGTTGCTATTTCCGTGATTTTCTACGGAAGGTGTACCAGCTGCAGCAGGAGTTCGGAGGGGCGAGCTTCGTTACAGCGTCCAGGCTGTTCGTCCGAGAGGGAGACCTCTTCAAGGTGACGTTTCACTTCATTTCGTGCCGTTTCATACCATGTTGTGCCGTTTCATGTCGTGTCGTGTCGTGTCGGTTACTTCCTGAGTGCGCTCGCAAGCTTATTGTTTGGGTCATGAATTTTCTCCGTCCGCGCCTTCCTTGAAACGACACCTATTGCTCCGCTCCACTCCAACTGGTTGTCGACGAAAACGACGACAAAGGTGGCCCGAAACGGAGTGGAGAAGCTTCACTTCGTCTTGTTCAACGACCTGCTGGTGTACGGACAGGCCAAGCGTAGGAGACCCTTGTTAAGGTAAGGGAACGTGTGCCATCATGTCTTTTCAAGTGTTTTCAAGAGTTGTGATAAAAGGTGCAATACCGTACAAAACACCATGTCTTCAGCTACGCCTAGCTTCTCTGGTCGTGACTCCGTGGTGCAATGTACAGGCGGCGCGCTTTTTCTCAGAACGAAACTACTTTATGAGGGGTAGATGGTAGGCGGTGTCGAGTGCTGATCACATGGCACATGTTTCACTCGGTCGGTTGTGTAGATACCACACACACTATTTTCTGGTACTATTGATGATATTGGTACTGTTTTTTTTCTGTTTTGCGTGCGGTACAATACTGGTACTCGAATTGTACTTCGTGGGCGAAAAGATTGAGTGATACCGTGACCAAACGCATGATGGTCGATACAAGAAGACAGGGCACGGATGTCACCTCCCGTGGATGCTTTGGAGAGGTAGCTTATCGTACAAAAGCTACGCTGCTGGGGCAACCCTCCCCCTTTTGCCCTTTGCTCCTGTTACTCTCCTCTTTGCTCTCCTTGTCAGATCGATGATTTGGAATATTCATTAGTCCAGGCACAAGTTGGACCAGTCGCCTGAAGCACTACCGCAGTTCTGCTGTTGTCCGTTTTGCTAGGTGGACAAGCACCCCCACCCTCCACCCCCCACCCCCGTACTCCGTGTTGCGCATGCGCAGACGAGGGTCTAGCCGTGAGCAGCTGTACCACCACCGGCGGGACATGAACCTCAGCAACTGCTTCATCGTAGACGCGCCCTCTTACGGCAGCCGCTGTTCTTCCTTCCTCGGTGAGCACACGGAGCCCCCCCCCCCAACCCCCTGCACACGGAGCCTCCTGGCAAAGAGGTCATGTTGGGGCGGCCACTTTGGTGTAGGACTCTGTCCCTGCTGCCGCTTCTGCTGTTGCTGCTGCTACTGCTGTTACTTTTTAGGTCTACTGTATATCTTATCTCCACGTGTCCGCAATCCTTGTGTCTTGAATGTTTTCGTGTTTACTGTATATCTTATCTCCACAGTTGTTGTGCTTTGTCTGCGTTGTCCGTGTTGATTTGGTTTTGGCGGTTTTGGTTGCTGTCAGGCGAAACCGGTATGCTGGTTATCTCCGAGGAGAAGACGTTCATGGTCATGGCCAGCACCGCCGTCGAGAAGGACGGGTGGCTTCAGGCCATTAGGCTGTGCATGAGGGAGCTCTCCACCAGCAACAGCGTGGTGGCTCGCGAGAGGGGCTACGGCAGCAGCAGAAATCAGGTTGGTGGAGACAAGTCTTGACGAGAACGACATACCACGTACTGCTGTAGTGACTGATAATAAGAACAAGAAGAACAAGAAGAACAAGAAGAACAAGAAGAACAAGAAGAATCAGAAGGTTGTGGTAATGTGGTAATAGCGTGATGAGCGGGCACCTCGGTTAACGGAAAACCGTGCCTTTCCGGGCTTGCATGTTGTGTTGATGCATGCCTTTAGTCAACAGAGAGTTTCCCCGTACGGGATGAGTATACCCACAATGTGTTATTTTGGTGTGGCAGCGATGGCGACGCCAACATGGAGGGAGGGAGGGAGGGAGGGAGGCAAACTCAGGCTCTAACCATCATATTCAGCACCCAGCAAGTTTTTTCTCACCACTTAGCTATGTGAAGACTTCAAACATCCCCCTTTGGTTGAACTAGTATATTATCTAGACCGGGTATAAAGTCTTTCTCTGTGAGTGCTGTAATACGTATACTTGGTCATTCATACCCCCCAAGTATTTCACCGCAACATAAGCTCACCACACCAACACTTCTCGCCGCAGGTAGTGGACGACGCGCGTGCCCAGCGGCGGCGGCGGCAGCACGCCACGTGCAGTCCCCCCGGGAGCAGCAGCAGCTCGCCCCAAAGCTGGTCCGTGGCCTCCCACAGCCCCATGGCAGCCTCCGCCCCCCGTTCCGTCTGGGTACCCGGCAAGAACGGTAGCCACAAAACGAGCAGCCTTAGGCTGGTGGAGTTCTGCCTTCCGCCGTGGGCGGGGGTAAGGACGTCGTGCGGGTGCTTGAGCCACACAGAGCTAACCTGGGGGAAGGATAGCCTCGCCGCGGGGGGGCAGGACCAGGGCCTGGGCGGGGTGGCGGGCGGGATGAGCGGGGTCGGGTGGTCGCCGAACGGCGGAGACTCGGTGAGTGACAGCAGTGACAGGGTGGCCGGGTTTTGCTGCTGCCGGCTCTGGGTGTGTTGGGGTTGCTGCGAGTTGACGATGATCTCGCTTATAAGCCCCAGGCGTGTTTTTCACCCCCGACAAGTTTTTTTCGGCATTTTTCGGCAGTCCATTAGTGCGCCTTGCGGGCGTGTTGCGGCTGGTGACGAGGAGGTGGTGGGGACACGGCTGGCTCACAGCAGAATCAGACGTTACACTGGACTGACTCCCTCTCCGCTGACCAAATTTGACGAAGACGTTTGCGTGTCTTGTTATTAGCATGTAGACTGCGCTAACGCTAACCGGCTCACCAGTGGAAAGACGTCAGTGTCAGTCAGTGCGGTTGACACCAGAAAGTGCTTCTACAGGCTGCCATGATCTGGGACCCCGTGAGGGGGCGTCATGGGTGTGTGTGTGCCTTTTTCGCTCACTATCATTGCCACACTCTTGTGTTGTCGTATGTCATCCCCCTCTTGTGCTGTGTCCTTCGTTCCTTCGCTTGTTTCTTATCGTTTGTCGTCTCCCTTTTTGCCGGGTCCTTCTTTGCCGACAGCGAAACGTGGGCGTCGGCGCTGCTCCGTATTCTGACCTGCGGCAGTCCGGAGGCACCCCACAGCCGAGAAGCGGGACAACTTCTCCGAGAAAGGCGAGTCAGCCGAATATCGTCATCGTCCAGTCAGCACCACACATAAAATCGAATCCCCTGCTCCACACGCTCGGTTGCTTGTATTTAGTCTCAAGATCCGGAAAATACGGGATGGCGACCCACACAAATGCCTGGCGCCTCTTAGCGTGATATGATATCTGTTTCTTACCAAGGTGCTTGTCCTGGCAGTGACGATGTTGGAGGCTTTCCGGAAGGGGGCTGTGGAGCAAAGCTGAACGTATGTTGTGCACGGCGCAGACCAGTCTAGTTTAGCGAGGGAAAGACACTTGGATGTCCCCTTCTTGTGTCCGCCGTTTGGAGCCCAGCCTGATCAATGTGTCTCGGAGCTAATTCCTAAGCGCCCACTGCGATACCAACGCCCAGCACTCATGGTTTCAAATTCGCCGCTCGTACGCACGTTTCTCTCTCTCGCTGTATTTATTTTTTCCATCAGGTGGCCCTTGTCATCTCGATGAGGCCATCGGAGCCCATGGGCCTGAGGCTGCGAGATGTTCACCCCGAGTGTGGGGGGGGTGTCGTGGTGATCGGTTTCGAGAGGTCGGCGGCGGGGAAGCGGGCTGGCGTGCTGCAGGGGGACCGGATCACCGAAGTCAACGGTAAGTTAGGTCCTTAGCGGTCCTCCGTTGTCGATTGCAAGGCGGGACGGAGCTCGTGCGTTCTACAAATTCATATGCGGTATCGCCTGCATGGCGGTTTCGTGTGGCAGAGTTTTGGGAGGCGGAAAAAAACGCCTCCCGGCGGCCGTCGTGCATGGCCCGCTGCCAGACATTGGCCCCGCGTTGACAGGGGAGCCAGAATAGATGAGTTGACCCTTTGTAGTTGTAGTTGTAGTTGTGGGTGTGGCTCATAACTCATCATTTGAGTGGTACATGTATTTTGAATAGTGGGTGGTGTTGCTCAGCGTGTACCCCTCCCACCGACCACCGACCACCACCACCATGCGCATCCACACCTCACCCGTCCGTTTTCTGGGCGCACGACAGGAATATACGTATCGAGGACAAACGACATCGTCTGGGCGCTGCAGCAACAGCAACAACAGCAGCAGCACCCCGGGATCGGCGGTCTCCGTTTCAGCGGCAGTGGCGGCAACAGGCGACAAGTCAACCTTGCCGTCCTCCGCGGCTTCCCCGACAGCGAGAAGCCGTGGCTGCCTCGCCTGACCCTAGAACCGTCACCGACGGCAACGGTCCTCACCCCCCCGAGCAGCGCGGTAGAGTCTCCCGCTAGCGGTGAAGACGACGAGGATGCGAGCGTGCCGTCCCCCGTGCTGTCCGCTCCGGGCCGGAAAACGTTCAGCGGGCGCGGCACCTCGGGGAACAACACCCTGGGCTTTGCCGGCTTTTACAGCGGCGGCGGCGGCGGCAACAGCGCGGCAACGGCGGTCAATTACAGCCCCGAGGAGCCGCCGCCGTCGGCGGCAACCGCGAGCTCGACGACGCCGCGGGTGCCCGACAATATCACCGTGAACACGCCGGTGGCCCCAAGCCCCGAGGCCGTGCTTTCGGCTCCCGGCCGAAAGACGTTCAGCGGTGGTGGCGGCGCGGCACGCCGGTCCAGCAAGAGCGGCAGCCTAGGGTTCGGCTTCTCCGGGGCGGACGACGAACAAGAACCGGCGCCGACCCTAACCCAGCAGCAGCGGCGGCAGCGGGCCTTCCTGTCGACTACGGCTACGACGGTGGAGCTGGGAAAGAGCGGCGGCGACGGCGGCGGCGGCAGCAGCAGCAGCCACGCGCTTACCCTAGCCGTGGACAACCCTCCCAGCCCGGACGAAACGAAGGGCGACGAGGACTCCGGGGAGTGGGGAGATTCGAACGGCTCGGCTGATAGCACCGGAGGGGGGCGGCCGCTCAAGGTGCCGGCCCCGACCCAGGCTAACGTAAACGCCGGCGGGGACCCGGCGGTGCCGTTCGCGACGTTCCGCGGCGGCGGGAGGGCGACGCCGTCGCGGGAGGGGCAAGGGCAGGGGCAAGGGCGGGGGCACGGGATGCCGTCGTTGAGGCTCGGGGTCGGCAGCGCGCTCGCGGCCTGCTGGGGGGTGCAGGAAACCAACGACAACGACGAGAACTCTCGCCCGACGGAGTTCGACCTGGGCAACAGCGAGGAAGTGGAGGTGGAGGAGAGGATCGTTGTCCGGAAGCCGCCCCCAGTCCTGGTGGCCATGTCCAGGGGCACGAGCGCCACCTCCAGCACGGTGGGGGGAGCCGGCGACTACGGCGAATACGACGAGGTCTTCGGGGACGACGCGCGTTCCGCGGCGGGATCGTCCGGGTCCGGGTCCAGCCGCGACTCGTCCCTCTTGCTGACCGCGGTCTCCCCGTCGCGGGTGCCCCCCCCCCTCGTCTCGGTGGCATCTTGGGGGACCCTCCCCCCGGTGTCGAGGGCCTCCTCGTGTAGTCTGGGGGGGCTCGTTCTCCAACCCTGGGCTATCCCCCACCCCGAACCACCACCACCGGCAGCAGCAGCAGCATGCAGACAGCAGCAGCAGCAGCGAGGATGATTCCGCGGAGCCCCCCCCCCCCGCGGACTCGATGTCGTGGCTGCCGCCGCTGCCGCCGCCGCCCCCGCCCCCGCGGAAGGACGGGGAGGCGAAGGCGGACAACCCTTGGGAACCGTCGCCGTCGCGGGCGGCGGCGGCGGCGGCGGCGGCGGCGGCGGCGGCGGCGGCGGTCAGACGGGGGGGGATGGGGCTGGCCTACCCGTCCGGAAGGTGGGTACAGACTCCTCAGACGGGGGAGATACTGGAGGAACAGCCGCCCGCGGAGCCGAAGGACGGGGGGAAGGTGTAGCACGGTACGGTGTATAGTACGGTGCGGTAAACTTGGTGGCCTGTTGAAGTTGTGTCGTCTGTCTGTGTCGTCTGTGCCTTTAGTAGTGTTTAGACTGGCATGCATCGACCGAGCTACTATTGTAGCCTTGGTGGCGGAGTGGCTGGCTGACGTAGGACCATGAGACGATTGGTCATTGTCACCGACAAGCGGGGCGATAAGCGGGGCGATGACGACAACGACTCCTATTAATATCAGTCCGCCGGGTTGTAGTGCGGGGTAATGTGACGTGTGGGCAAGTGGTGTGTGTGCGTGATTTATTGTCGCGGTCTCATGGATGGCTGAGACTTGGGGTGAGGTTCGCGTCAACGGAGAGAAAATAGCGTTAATGTTGAACACGATTTTTTTGTTCTGTGTATGCCTCGGTGTGGATGGCTGGCTGGCTGGCCAGCTGGTGAGGTGACGTCGGCGTCGGCTATGCTACCAATCGAGTGAAGGCGGACGGGATCGGCCGGCTCGTGGACGATTTCCCGTGAACCGAACAGAAGGTAGAGCTTCCGTTTGTGGCCTCGAAGAGAGTTGAGTGCGGTACGGCACGGTACGGTACGATGTGCCATGGCTGGCGCAGGAGAAGTGGGGTTAGATATGTAGTACTTCTATGAGAGATGAAAAGAAAGGGGCGTCTTGTACGCCCCTGTTTTTTGCCCCAGCTTGCGCGCGCCCGTTGTTGCGTCCGTTCGTTTGATTGATTGATCGCGTGGCGTATGCCATCGTCTGTCTGTCTACTGTGCTAGAATAGCTAGTCTAAATTTGTTGATGTTGCCATTGAGTGGGGTGGTTGTTGTCTGTTTGAAACGAAATGAAACGACGCGTATACGAAAACGAAAACACATGTAATACTCATACATAGTATCGACCGAGAAAGAAGGAAAGAAGGGATGGCAGAGACAGAAGGAGAGGCAATGAGCGAGAGAGAGAGACAGAGGGCTCTAGCTGGTAGCCACGGGCCGTGCATTACAAGTTGCGATATTCTCCGCGTGTTTTTTGTTTCTGTTATTTGAGTACCGAACCATACCATGGTTTTGCGTACCCCTTGCTGCCGTGCTGCCGTGACCTCAGCAGCGTTGCCTAGGAATAAGAAGGCTTGTAAAATATTCTGGTACTCCAATGCATTCATGTGGGGGTAGTGGGGTGGGGCAGATGCGCGCACCCGATAGAGTTGTGTCGGTGCCCGGCCTTGCGAAGTGCTGGCCATGTTTGAAAGTCAAGTCTCTCTTGTTTGTTTGATTCCCAATTCTGTTTGCATGGCATCGGCTGTGCAAGCGGGTACAGGTGGTTCTTGACCCAAGTCTGTTGCCCCTTTTTGTTACCGGTTTTTCCTTGGAGTGAATGGAAGTGTGGCGTCGCTTCCTGCATTGCCGACAGACAGACCGACAGACAGAAAAGAGGTCCTGGGTGTCGTTGTATGCAACAGTGAGCCTGTAGGGAGGCTTGGAGACTCGATCGACACACTTTCTATCCAGTATTATTTTTGTGGCGGACGTATGCATGCATGGGTGGCCAAATGTTTGTGCGCGTGTGTGTTTGCGTGTGTGTTTTCTTCTTGTGTACGAATCTCGTGTGTGTGGGTGTATTTGCATATCTGTATGCATACTACAATAGTCCCGTGCCCTGTGTCATGAACGGGAACATAGTAAGCGAAAAGAAGCAATTGATGGGCATTCTTTACTTCCAGGTGTAAGGTATGCATGTCATTGGCCGGCGGCGCGTTTTTGAAAAAGTCAAGACTTTTATTCCCTTTAGCGCTGCTACAATAATCGAAGCGACTCTTCTTCTCATCAAGCCGCTCACACAAGGTGGTAGTGGTAGTAATCATGTCATGTATCATGCCATGTAGTGTAGAGAGCCCCCCCCCTTATCGAGGAGACCGTGTGCTTCTGATGTGCGCGTGTTTGTCCGTCCATGAGCTATTTCGCTGGCTTTACGCCGCGTTGGCTCTGCTCTACGCTGCTCACTCACGCCGGTTAACTACGCCTGGGTATTTTGGGTATTTGTTTCTTTCAACTCGGTCACCTGTGCGAGACCGACTTCATCGTCGGTGAGCTTCTTTTCGTTCATTTGGTAAGCGTGGTGCCTCTTTTGTCATAGCTTCGGGGCAAGTTTTCGGAGGGGGGGGAGGGGGGGGGGGTACGCAAACAGAAAATGTTTGGGTGGGTGTTTGTTGTATTGTTTTACGCACGGCGGGTAGCTCCGTACGCTGCTGCTGCAGGAGCGGCGACATTAGCAGGCATTGTTTTGACTCTCGAAGACAGACAGAGAGGCGCATGAATATTGAATAATGATGACGAGCGAATGGTGGTATGCATACAACCCGGCTTTATCGTTACTACAAGTTGAGAATTTGGCTTGATTGAGCGATGCATGGACGAGTAGACTGTGGCATGCGCGAAGGAAGGTACGGGCCTGAAAAATGCCGAGTGAGACTGGTTCTGGTTTGTGTTCCAAGATAGAGAGATGCGGTTGTCCTGGTTGTTTTTTTTCGCGGTTTGGGAGTTTCGACAAGGAGAAGGGCAGGCATGGACGAAACCAACTCCCGTTGGTTGCAGGTCAAGGGAGGAGATACATACTTGTGCGTTGACTAGGCCGAGGGCAAACGCGTTGAACTGGCGTGTTTTTCAACAGCCCGGGGGTGGCCTCGGCGAGGCCTCAACTGAAGCCCTTTTCCTTTTTTTCAGCGGGTTCACAACTTGAAGGAAAGGCCGTCTCACCGTAAGTCCCTCCCTAGATGTGTCAGGGGCAAACGTATTGGACCTACAGTACCTGTTCGCGTCGTTTGCTACGGCCAGACCGATGGTATATGTATGTATTTGGTGCTGCTACGTGGTTGCTCGCCCTTTGTGCGTCAGAATCGGGTGCTCGCTGCATTGAGCGACAAACTCGTTGTTGCTGGTGTGCCCACTGCGTGTGTGGGTAGGACCATCATTGTGTTTCTGTTTCAAGGGCAAAGATAGAAATACCCAGACCTCTTCACAACCCTGATTGGCTACAGTACGTAGGATCGTTGGATCATCCTGTGTTTTTCTGTTACAGTACAAGGGCGGCAATGATAAAAAGATATCGACGTGTTTTCACAACCCCTCAGCTAGCTTTAGCTGTTCAAGAAGTCAGATTCTTGCGCGTTCACACCAGGTCTGTCTCTCATCTCTCAGATGTATCGACATCGCACGTCTCACCCCCCCCCCGTTCTTCTAGGCGCACGGGGGGGGTGGTGCGGGCCGTGGTTGTGAGCAGGCGGGTGAGATGCGATAAAAAAAAACTTCCACCAGGAAGTGCTAGTACTACAACGGTATTGCAGTGGGCTTTCGGAGTAGACCCGACCAGGTCTTAGGAGGGCCACAGCCAAGGGTGCCCTCATCTTTCTCATCTCTCTCTCCTCACGGTTTTGTATGCACAAGACACAAGAATACATTCCTTTTGTGGTGCTATCGGCGAGAGACATGGTGCCTCATCCGTGCCCCTAAAAAACTGCTTTGAATTTACAAAAATCTCAACTGCAAAGCATTCAGTTGGCCAGCCGCCTATCAACACATTACGTCAGGTACGCCAACTATTCAGCACGCTCCCAAAAAGACACAAAAACAAAAGTCTGCAAGGCGACGATTCTCCTTGGTTGGCCAAGCAGATCACCTCTCTACCTCTTCTGCACCCCCGCACCACGTCCAACGGCGAATGGGCTTGTCAGCGGGAAGCCGCAGTCGTCATCCTACCTGTGTGTCTTTGCCTTTTGACAGGCTTCTCTCTCTCTCTCTCTCTCTCTCTCTCTCTCTCTCTCTCTCTCTCTCTCTCTCTCTCTCTCTCTCTCTCTCTCTCTCTCTCTCTCTCTCTCTCTCTCTCTCTCTCTCTCTCTCTCTCTCTCTCCTTCTCTCCGTTGTGTTGTTCGTCTAGAGCTCTCATGGTAGGCAAGCTTCAACACATACCATTTCCGTCCAAAGCAGCTGAGAACTAGGCAATGCGGCGAACCAACGCTGTTCTTTCTATTGGTAGGCACCTAAATTGTCCCTTCCAGCCGCGTCATCCCTCAAGACAGCGGGCATGATTCAAGTGCTCACACACAACCAGCAAGCGAAACGCTTTTTCAAATCCAAACACAGGGTAGTCGTGAGTAAAGCTAAATAGAGGGATGCTCGTGTGGAAATACATGGCTTCACACCTGTGGTACACCGCCCAACAGAGAGCCCCGACGGTACCCATGGGTGCCCCGAGGAGCACCGACAACGACAACGACAACGACAACGACATCGACAACGACAACGATGACATCTTGAACGCACACCGCACATACCGCACGTGGATTCGATGTATGTGTTCATCCGGATCTCCATAAACTATCTAGAAACAAGGGGCTTCGTACATGGCGCCAGGGGCGCCGGCGACAGCAGCAGCAGCGAAAGGTCGTTCAGCCCACAGACCCTGGCTCGTGCGTCGGTGGCGGCGTTGGCGTCGGTGGTGCTGGTGGCGGAGACAGCTGAGGCGGCGGCTCTCCGGCCATCTTGCTGAGCAGCGCCAGAGCCGACTTGCCGATCGCCATGCGCAGAGCATGCTCCTCTTTCTCCATGGCCAACCGCTGCAGCAACAGCAGCAGCAGCAGCAGAGAGCCAACGCAACAACAACGGTGAGGGCGGGGAGGATATTTTTCCAACAACCCAGGCAAACTATATACAATACTTTGCATCTCAATAGGTATAGGGTGTGCTTGTGTGTTTTGTGGGTGTGTTTTTTTTTCTAGTTGCCAGTTTTGAGGACGGTGAACACGAACAAGACGGTGAAAACAGGCCCAAAAAAGAGCTTCGATTGGCGCGCTGCGGATAGAACGAGCGGTACGGCAAACGAACTCTGTATTTATCGACCACACAAAAAAAAACACAAACCTCAGCGTCTGCGAGCTCGAGCCTCCGCATGTGCTCCGCGCCGGCCTCCTGCAGCAAGTTCGACCGCTCCGCCGCCGATACCATCGAGTCAAGGACTCGCGCCCGCTTTGCCTCCGGCGAGTTGAAGTACGACTTGTTCATCTTCCCCGGCTTTCGGCCAGGCTTTTTCCTGATGATGAACGCGCTCCCGGGGGCCGCCCCTGTCGCCCCGCCGCCATTGTTATACAAGGACTGCCCCAGCTCGCTTTCTGCGGGGGAGGCACCTGGTGCCGTGGCCGGGGATGCCACCGCTGCCGCCGCCGCCGCTGCCGCCGCCGCCGCCGCCGCCGCCGCGACCGCCGCTGCCCCCCCCCCGAGATCCCCCCCCGCGTCTCAATCATGTTGTTGATGGCAGTGGTGGGAGGAGTGGTGCGGGAGGGAGAGCGGCACTGCTGAGTGCGGTTGGTCTCGCTCTCTTGGCGCGAGGTCGGCGTGGTGTTGCGCCGCCACTAGGGCCGCGTCCCACTCGGCTATCTCTGTGGGGTCCAGGCCGATGTTTCTGAGCTTGGCGGAGAAGATTTCCCGGTTCTTGAGGTACTTGGCCAACACCCGGCTGTGAATAACCTGGAGCAGCCGAGAGAGCAGCGGGCGAGACGATGTACGTACACGGCAGTGCAAATAGACGCAGCCGTGAGCGTCTCGTGAAATAACGTCGCGTGACAACACGTCCCGTGAAATCACGTCTCGTGAAAACACGTCCCGTGAAGATGACGTCTCGCGAAATCACGTCTATGCGAAAGAGATGAAAGCGGGGGAACTAGTCAGTGAGTGTGGTCTTTGTGTGTTGACCGACGGAGAGTGGCCGTAGAGAAGTCAGACAAGGACTAGGCCATACTTCGTTCCCTATCCTCGAAGTACCTTTGCCAGCACACTGGGTCTGCCTAGTGAGAGCGTAATCCACACGTTGAAAATGAGAGCTCGCAACAGATGCGCCTGATCTATCGTAAAAGTGTTGTAGCCGCCACTAAACCAAGCACATGACACGGTCAGAGGGCAGCGCCCGCATTGCTTCTGCCCGCGACCCAAAAACCGTCAGAAGGGCGATCGATTCCACTACAGCACGTCGCCACCGCTGTTGTCTGCAAAGAGCACCCTTCCCCCTTCAACGGTACTACTCAAAACGTCTCGTTCAGAAGCGTGTCTTAGGCTATAGGTTTGGCATCTTATCTTGTTAGTTCTCAAAGGTCTGCGCGAGGCAGGTCAACCTAACGCCATAGAAGCAAACACGAGATGCATACTGCCCCCTGACCTTACGAGCCCCCTCCGTGGTGTTGTCCAGGATGATGGCCATTTCAGGGTGCCCTTGTTCCCGAAGAACGTTCGCAGCCTGCGGAACCAGAGCCGCCCGGTCCGATGACGTCATGTAACCGTCTCCCGAGCTGATCTTCTTTTGCTCCGCCTGGGCGTTCCACACCTGCATAGTACAGCAAGGCCGTTTCAGCGCCATCAACTATATGAAGGCGTTTTTTGTTCGATTCGGGGGATTTCATCATCTGCTCTGGCATACGAGTACTCCCCTCCCCCCTCCCTCGATTTGTAGGCGTGTTAGCCGGTGTGAGGTTACCGCGAGTTGCATGGCATGCCGCGCCACCAGAATCAATCTCCCTGGTGTCTACCGGTGCTTCAACAACCAAGACGTTGGCGATACCGTACCTTAGTACTTATATGTCTTTTGGAAACCGTCGATAAAATGCTTCTCTTCATTTTTTTGATGCTGCGCCTTTCACCTAAACGCGTTGCCCCCCTTCTGTGGAGATACATGTATCCGAGCTATAGGGTGTGGTATCTACCGTGACATAAGCTGTCGGCGGGGGAATAACGTGATCGGTCGCAGATGGGTTTTCCCGGAGCCGGAAGGCGTACGAAACCGCCAAACGTGAAAGATGAGCCATCCATTTCCCTGTCAGCTGCAATCAACCAACAACCTTTGCCGTTGGTGTTTCAACCAACCGACTACGCTGCTACACATCTGCATCATACGTCAGAAAATCTCTCGAATATGTGGTGGAAAGTGGTTGTCGTGTAAATACTTCTCCAAAAAAGCGAACCGCGCGCCTTGCCGATAGCCTTTCAAACCCAGGCTGCTCCCTAACGAGGGCCCTGTATGCTACAGTCGGGCATGATGAAAGACGGGCGTGATGCAACTCAACTCAACCCAGCCTGCACCCTAGCATACCTGATACAGGACGTTGTAGACCTTCCCCGGCCACAGCGCGCTCTTGGTCGGCCCTCTGTTGCCCTTCTCGTCGTCGGGGTGGTTCGTGTACCCCGGGTCCACCTCGCTCGCTGCCGCCGCCGCCGCCGCCACCGCCGCCGCGGCGCCGAGGCCCCTGGTCGGGCCCGGCCTGCAAGAGGCGGCAATCCTGCTCTCCGGAAAGGTGCGGGTGCCCCTGTACTGCTTCCAGCCCTCGCGGGTGCTAAGGGGCACGGTGTTAAAGTGCGTCTTGCACATGAACATGATCTGTATTCGCATGCACCGAGAGGATGAATTAGTTAGTTGCACGATGGGGTTGGCGGTTTTACGGACAACAGTTGTACATAATATGTAGCGGAAAGAGAGAGCATCAAAATAGGAGAATCACGGGGTTGGCTATTTTGGACAGGCAGCAGTTAGAATAGAGGAAAGAGAGGGCCAAGAGCATTAGAACGAAAGTTAATGTCATGCATAAAGGGTATGCACACTTATCTTTGTTGGACCACGTGTCCTTACCCGGCTACACATGTGGCCGTAGTTTTCCTCGTCTTTGTTGATACAACAGCAGTGATACTGCTGTACAGCTCTCTCTCCATTCGAGCGAATCGATGGCATTTACATACAGTTTTTAATAGCATATTTCGCAGCAGTGGGACCCGATGCCTCGGGCAGTTCCTCTCCACTCCCACAGCTAATGTTTCTCATCCCTATTAGACACAGAACGATATCATGTGCGTATGCTCTTGAGAGAATGCAACGACTATCTTCGACTTTTTTCTGTAGATAGAGATGGATTTACTGTGTCATAGTAAGAAAAACAAGACAAAAAAAAAAAACACATGATGCATGAAGAATTACAATAGTCGTGCTGAGGCCACTACGACAACAGCAGTAGTATATTATCGATGCGAGGACGAGAAAGAGTTGAGCGTTTACATGCCTCATTCCTCGTGAGTGTGACCCCGGCTACAGCAGTAGTGCGTCAACCAAACCCTTGCAATGAAGCATGGATGCTTCGAAGTACACCAGTAGCTGTTTGCGAAAGGTGGTAGTACTAGTAGCGCCTAAGCAGTGTCTACACTGGTGGGTACAATAGTTAATAGTCTACAGCAGGCGGGACGAGAACAACAAGGAGAATCTCTCAATCTTATCGTATGATTCAGATTGCTCAAAGCCACCGTAGATGCCGACTGAGGTATGTTTACACACCACCCCGACACAGGGTACACAACAGGCGGGGGAGAGATCAAATAATAGTCTAACGGCGGAATGGCGGCTTGCATGGGCGGGGTTGACTAATACGAGTGAGAAAAACACTGCCGACGGTTTTGGTGGGAGAGCGGTAGGAGACTGATGGTATGCTAAAAAACAATGATATAGAAGGCGGGTAGCACCTCGTCTCTACGCCTACGCCAACAGGCCATCAAACCCTCGCCGAAGGCGCACCTGCTTGCTCGAGGCCGCCGTGTATTGCCGCAGCGGCCGCTCCGTGCACCCCGCGACAGAGCACCATGGGTAGCACTCTGGCATGCTCGCGTTGTGGTGTTGTTGGTGTTGGTGCATGTCGTGGACGCTGCTGCTGCTGCTGCTGTGATATTGCTGCTGTGGCGGCTGAGGCGAGGCCCCAGGGAGCGGGGATCCCAGCTGGTGGGCCATCATGCGGAAGACCTACAACATGCAGCTCTGACACGGCGCGGCGCTCGATCCGGCGATGGCCCGTCGCAGGTTCGCTTGTCTTGCTGCTTGCTGCGTGGTCCCTGTGCCCGTGTCGGCGTGTCCGGTCTCTCAACTTTTGGGGGCTCCGTGGATTCATCCGCAGTTCATCCGCATCCATCCGCTGTATTTTCCCACGCGCGGCACATGAGGGTGGGATGGGGACTTCGAAGGCACAGCAGCAGACACACCCGACGGACGACAGGACACAGCAGGAAAATCTTTGCACTACACAAGATGCTTCAAAGGCTGGGCCTCACGAAGGCGTCAGTCAATGGCGCCAATGGCACGGAAGGCGCCAATGGCGAAGCCAAGAGAGAGGTGGTATCTGTGCCCCCAGTGGAGGAATTCGAACAAGCTCGCTTCTTGAAGGTGGTTTGTCGGGAAAGGGTTGCCGTGAGAGCAAGCCCGAGCCAACCGGCACCCGAGAATGGCCAAGTAAGTCTAGTCTACATGCATTTATTTTCGTCCGGCAGGGATGCTGGGGTGCATCTTCTGTGTAATATATCCCGGTGGGTTCTCGGTAAAACAGCAAGTTTTTTTGTTTCATAAAATCTGTGCACCAGTTTTTAGTCGGCTGCGTTCGTGTGTACACCATGTGCAACTTGTCCTGCTGTGTAAGCACGTGCTGTTGTCTTGTCCGCGTGTTTGACGCACTGGGGCGCGGCAACACACAAGAGGAAGAGAGGAAGACAAGGCTATTTCCTCAACGCAATGCTTGCCTGCAATTCGAACTGAAGTAATTTTTAACGCGAGAAAGGGTGCCGCCGCCGCAGTCCCCCCCCTCATTCTTGTGCCTGCGCACTGCTCACGACTAGACTAGACGAAGCACGTGCGCGCGCCTTTTTTACTCACGAGATGACATTGGAACTCGCTGTAACAATGCAGCTAAAATAAAATAGATCCTTCACAATACTGTGCATATTAGGTCTGTATGTGCAAGGTTACCAACTGGACCATGTGACCAAGCTCTACGTGTGAGCGAAAGAGAGAACAACGCTTCCAGCGTCGGCGACATTCGCTTGTTTCGTCTACAACGAACGGTACCTGTGGATCAAGCCCCAGTTGCTTACCGCCCATGGTGCTGTTGGTGTCGCTCGTATGTCTAACTAGACATGCTTGCATCGCGCTTGACTCTGATGGTTGCGGTGGCTGCAACGAATAAGAATATAATGATGGATGGATCATGGACCCCTTCAAAACGAAATTTCACTCAGTCTTAGAATTGGTGCGTGTGTCTTTCGTTGAAATACAGTACATGGACCCTGCCGCCGTCCCAAACGGTTGATCATCGAACAAAAAAAACAGTCGACTGTAAACAACGATTGCGGGGCCCGAATCCTTGGAACTTTTCTAGATGGCGGGTTCCCGTGACATGGAGGGGCGTGTAGTCCACGGCACCCCTGTCCGTGGAATCCGTCAAGTAGACTAGAAATCACGTCCGTCCGAACCCTGCATTGCTCGTGTGCATGTGTGTAGGGTGCGCGCGTATGTTTTCTTAGTAAGTCGACCGCTGTATACTAGGAGATGGTAGTGCGTACCAAAGGAAGATGCATGATTATTATTGTCACGGAGTTTCTTGATAGGAACGTCCCGAATTTTACCGACACCAGCAAATCTAGCACTGGGTTAGTCTTGTCTCAACGGAGGAAAGGCACGAAACATGTTGTGTGCGTTCATAATTTTATTTCGTTCGTTTGTTTCTCGTCTGCAACTACGATACGACGGCGATGATGTCAGTCGTTCGGATTCGGGGACGTCGTGGAGGTACGCGGCTTGGCGGTGGCGGTGCCAGAAGGCGTCGTGGTTGAGCTCAAGCAGCCGCAAAGCGGCTTCGTGTTCCAGAAGCACGGCGATCGAACTCTCCTGGAGGAAGTCGAAGCCTTGAAGGTGAAAAATTAATACGTACCCGCAGTGTTCGACTTTGATTTTTTATACATTGGGCAAACCACACGCGAAACACATCAGGCATACGTACACAAACACACGTGTGTCATATTGATCGGGAGGTGTTCTGCTCGTGTCTGGTAGTTTGTATGTTGCTGAATGTAGTCACCGATGGTTGAACGTGCTGTGACACAGAATATTTTTGGGCCCCTGCTGGTGGTAGATTCATGATGATCGCGGAAATTTCGGGTACAGTAGTTACATAAACTTGGAAAACCATTACAATTTAGTACTGGTACTCCTCACTCGCAGGGGGGAGTCGGTCGGCGGAAGGGGATGGGTGTACTACAGTAGTAGGCTGCAACAACATCGTTAGAGGTATTGCTCGGCCGTGACAAGTTGGCTATGCTCAGCACCACTGTATTGAACGGTATTGACAAGGGTGCTCTTTGCAAGGTTTAGTCCGGATGCCACATGATACACCACGTGCTGTTTTGATCGAACCCAACTCCGCATTGAGCAGGTTGTGTGACTCCCGGCTACATGATGAGGCGTGATATTTGACACATGCTCAACACACTTGCGAACATGACATGCAAAGGTATGTGTCAACCGCACTAAAAATGTGAGACGCGCGATGTTGACCGTCTGCCCCAGGTGGAAGAAGGCGACTGGTGGTACCGTGTCGTGCATCCCGCCGGCGCTCGGTTCGCAAAGATCCCCAGCTTGCTGCCGCAGACCCCGCGACACACGATCGCTGTGCCTCAGAACACCGTGGTCCATGCGTGCCGAAGGTATGGCATGCGGCGTAATGCAGTGATGAAAGATGACGAGCTAGAGGGTGTCGACGTTGTTGCGGCAGTAGAAGACGCGTGTTGTGGTTGTTTGCATTCGTTGCTGTAGTGTCGTTGTGCGCCGGTTCATGCTGCAGGTGACTGCTCTCACAGTAACGCAGTGCAATCGCTCTGGCAGCAGCACTAGCTGTAGCAGCACTACAACAGCAATGATGACAAAAAACAACACCACTGCTGTGGTGGCGACGACACCGGCGATGGCAATGACAACAACGCGGCAGGCACACGCCCCCCGGGAGCAGCGTGACGTTCGTGGAGCTGTCGGACAACAAGGGCTGGATTGTTGAGTCCACCAAGGAGAAAGCGGTGCTCGAACAGTCTTCGGACGGAAAGTACATGGTGGAGAACATCACAGGTACGCATACATACGTATGCATGACTATCATAATCAAGTAGTGCTGCCTTGAGACAAGTGGAGTTGTTTGTCTGCGGTGCTTGGGGTAGGCACGCACTATTAATACGTTTGTCAAGAGTTCAAAACGAGTTTGAATTCATTTGTGGGGGGAATGGTGCACGTTTATGTTGGTTGCGTGTCGCGGGTGGAAACTTGAGCGCCAGCACCCACCGATGTGACTTGATCGATCAAGGTGCAATGCTCAGGCTTGATGGGGGAAAATAGATCGGTCCATACACGTCAACACAATGGCAGATGTCATGCACATATCGCGTGTAGTACTACTTAACCGCTGTGCGTGCATGAAAGTACTGAGAAGAAGACTCCGAATCTTGGATTTGCCATGGGGCAAATGTCACGTACACCCCTGGTATACGTGTACCAAGCCAGCTAACCACGCGGCATGTAAAATGTACAGGGCACTACCGGGATGACTCCGAGGCGTGGTACCAGGTGGTGGACGAGTCTGGCGTAGAGCTGCTGGAGGCACCAGACGCTGGCAGCACCAGAATGCTAGAGCTGTTCCTGCCGGGGAAGGTAGGGTTTTACTCATGTGTTGTACTTGGTAATTGTCGAGATAGTGATAAGCATATCTCCACGAGATGATACTTTTACGAGAACGAAGCAGGTGTGCACACATAGAGGGCGCGTCTAGATTTTCGCCCGCAGCATGAGTTAAAACATCGTATAAGTTCCTGAGCACATCCCAGCATCAATAGCCCGTGCTGTCGGACGTGCGTCAATTATGCATCACGCCAAATTGCAACTCCACGCTGTTGTCGTAGTCGTCGATGTGGCTCTTTGATAGATAACACGTCTTAACATTTTCGAGCTGTCCTTGAACGCACGCCCTGGCTCCTGTGTTCTGAGACGCCCGCCCGATCTTGTTGCTATCACTTGTTGCCACGTGTGCGTTTCGCCCTCATTCTGGCACGGGCGCATGGTGTTGGTATCGCAAACCCTCAGGCGTTCTGCGTGTCGGAGCGGTTTCAGCCCCCCGAGCAGGGTTCCACGTTCCTAAAGGTTAAGGGTAGGGAGGCGTGGGTTGTGCAGCGGGCTGAGAGCGATGGCGAAGAAGCCTGCAAGAAGCTTCCCCCTCCGATGGACGAGGTGGGTCCTCCGACACGGCAGCTCTACTGTAGACAGGTTGAGTCTTCGTGCGGCACACAGCAGCTAGATAGCATGACCATATATCAATACCCCATACACCGAACCTCGACTTAGAAGCATGCCTTGCGCCCGCCAGCTGCTGCATGTTTTAAAGAAAATATTCAGAACAATGGTAGCGTAGAGAGGGCATTGACTGTTAGGTGGAGTCAGACCTATTAATAGTTCTCGCTTGTATGTAGGGGTGGGCGCCTCTCGAGCCGAAAGAGTCCGCAGGACACCATGACTGACGTTTTCTATATCGTATTTGCTGTTGCTGCAGCCAAGTTCAGCTTTGGAATAGGCCTTTTACATACCCAAAGCACCTTATTTTTCAGCCCTAGGGTAACGTAACCTAACCTAACATGCCCCAAGCTGCCTTTCATTGCGTACCCACACGTATTGTACGGATATCAAGTCATGCACACTCTTCCTCGTTCCTTAACGCCGCCCGCTCGATCATCTTTGGACACGGGCAGCAGCTAGCAGTAAGGCGCGCGTTATGTAGCCGACGCCACGCGCACGCGTGACGTGTGCGGTCGTTGATTGGTTCATTCGTTCGTTCCTTCGACGCCACCAGGCGGTGGAGCAGTGGTACCGCGTGCAGTACCCGGGAGGGGTTCGGTTGCGAGCATCCCCTGCCTTCGAGCACACCGACCCCTCTCTCGGGGTCCTCGTGTGCGGGTGGGTGTTCCTAGCGACAAGGCGTTACCGTGCACCGGGGAGCAGCCACATGCTGTTGCAGGTATGTACGTACGCAATACTTCCAAGTATTTGTGATTTTCGATGCCTTACCCGTGTAGGCTCGGTTAGTGAGAGAGAGAGGGAGAGAGAGGCGTGTTGAAGAGGGTTTGAAGGTGGTGAAGGTAAAAGGGCAGGGCGTAGTTGCATGAATAGGTTCCCACAACTTGCTCCCCTCGCCTGCAGCAGTGTTCTAAAAATGAATGACGCGTTTGGTATTGTTTTTAGTGTTTCTTTGGTCGAATCGCGAAACATCGAGATGGGATGTTTCTGTTTCCTTTCTCTTTCGGTGAGGTGTGCCTCCAGATGGCATATTTCGTGGCACATGTTTCGTGTAGGCGCTAGATTGGCGGGATAGTGTACGGGGACAAAAGGTTACAGTAGTGGGTTGTGCGGCGGCTCGTCGAGCGCGAAGCTGTTTGGATATTCTCTCGTTCTTTGATTATTGAGCGAGCACGCTGTACATGTGCACATTAAACCTGCTCGGTTTTTATTGTGTCCGTGGTTGTGATTGTGTTGGAACCAAGCATGCTTTCTTGCCTTCGAAACAACAACCGTGCTTGGGATGAACAACCGCACACACACCTGCTGCACGTGCTTTCTTTCGAATCAACTACCAGGTAGCCACGCCAGAGGGCGTCGTGCGAGACTCTTCCTCCGAGTATGGGGAGACCGTTGATGTGTACGGCAGCAGCAGTGATGACAGCGATTGGGACAATGAGGACGAGCTTGAGCAAGCAAGAAGAGGGGCGAGGCGGCACTGCGGTTGGGTACCGTCCACTTCCAACGGGGAAGAGGTGAGAGGCGAATGGTTTGACTGTTATACTGCGGTTTCGTGTGGCGGGTACAACCAATGAGATGTAAATGCTGTCTGTAAGATGGCATTGTATGCACGTGATGCACGCTACGGTGGGTAGTTTCCGTGATACTGCTGTTTGCACGTGATACACGTTGCGAAAGGGTAGTTTTCCTTGTTGAGAGAAAACGAGGAAGCTGTAGGCACTATATAATTTTCGAGTATGATGGGATTTTCTCTGGATGTCTTGCCGATATTGTAGTCTCTTTCTTTCACATTTGTGCTGGACTGTCCTGGGATCGTGTATGTAAGAGGGTGTGCCTTTGGCGTGTACTTGGAGGCATGGTGATGCTGACATGATGGAATGGAATGGCACGGCGGTTCTTGCTGCGACACACACTTTTAACAGTGCATCGCATCGCGTGCATTGCATACAGGTGGTGGCCGAAACCATGGAGCCGTGGATAGAGCGAGGACTCTTTCCTTACCAGGCATGTGGCATAGTAGGGCACACGGTACATTACCGCTACTGCACCTCTCACGGATGGATGCTGTAGTTCGCCTTGATGGGGTTGCTCGGTTGGCGCTTGTGGTAAATAGTTCATCTCGCTGCTGTGATGTCATGTGGGACGCGTCACTGCTGTGTCGCTTATCGGATGCGCTCGGCAAGCAAGTTCAGTCGCCAAGCTATTAATTGACCCTTTCCGCAATACACATGGCGGCGAAAGGGGCCTGAGTGAGATGGGTGCTGTAGACACTCGCCGAAAAGTGTCACGAGACTCAACAGGTGCTCGTGGTTGGCACCCCGTACCCCAGGCGGAACAAAACACGTCGCGCTTATGGTGCCATCATCCGTGTTCCGTGCGCTCCAACTACCGGACTTTAGAGGCGTGGAATGCTATTCGCAACGTAAGGTGTTGCAGAGGTGCATGCTCCGCGCTATTTCGTGAACTAATTCGGCAATCCTCACGCCGTGTCATGTGCGTGTCTGGAATTTACAGGTCGTCGTAGACGAGACCCTGCTGGCAAACACCGGGCCGCACGTTAACGCGCCAGGAAGCCCGCAGCAGCTTCCCCCTTACAGCGTGGCCGCTGCGGTGAGAAGAGAAGAGAAGAGAAGAGAAGAGGCGTGGGGTGGGGGGTGGGGCGACGAATTTGGTGGAGAAAGAGAAGAGGCACCGAGAGTGTGTACACTCGCGTGCGTTGATGTGTTTCTTCCTTGACTACGGTATCGATTGACTGCCTGACGAATGGCAAGGCGTGAGTGACAGAGAGAGGGAGGTCGGTACAACCCCTTGCGCCATGTGTACATGGCCTTTCGTATCATTTACCCCCCTATCACCCCCCCCCCCCCCCGTTCGACCCGAAAAAGGCCACGTTCTTGGAGACGGGCGACGGTCTCGAGGGCTTCGTGCAGCTGGCGGGGACGGGGAGCTGGGTCCTTTCTAGGCGCGGCCAAGACACCAAGATGGTGCGCCTCCCGGCCTTCCCGAGAGTCGACAAGACCCCGAGACGTTTTGTCGTGTCGGCGCCCGGCGGTGTCGAGACCGTCGTTGGACCGAGCCCCTCGGCCCCCCGCACGGGGCAGCTGCTGCCCCTCGGAGCGGAGGGTAGCTCGGAGATGGTGTGGTCGGTCAAGGGCTGGCCCGGGGACAGGGGGGTGGGGGACAGGAGGTTCGTTCTGCTGGAAGGGATGGGGTGGGTGCAGCTGGATGCCGGGACCGAGCAGGAGGGCGGGCCGTTGCGGGAGATCGGCGCGCCTCCGCCGCCGCCGCAGCCGTCGCCTTTCGACGGGACTAGGGAGGGCGCGGTTGACGAGCAGCGGCAGCAGGAGGAGAACGGGTCTTCGAGCCCTTGAGCTGATTCATTAGCGAGGGATTAGAGCGCACGGGCACATTGCGGTTCGGAGTCTAGGGTGCATACTACAAGTTGCTGGACCTAGTTTTATATCTAGGTTAATAATATTAGAAAATTGGGGGTTTGGGAGGAACTGCTGTGTTAAGTTGACCGAGGGACACCCCGTTCATACTAGTCCGTTGTTTACCATGGTTCCTTATCGTGGTTCCGAGAAAGGTCATCGCACTACAACGGTTCTGTATGTGTTTGGTTCATGTGTCCCATCATTCCGTGTGGTAGTTGGACTCGAACTTGGCTGCGCCGCCAGAGCCGCTGATGATCATCAGCACGTCGGTGCCTTGGTTAATAAAAAGGGGGCGCGTTGTCGCTTTCTTTTCCCATCGGACTTGGGCCACCACCACTTTATACCGCTTACAAGTACAAGTAGTGTTCAAGGTGTGGCAGCACCACCTTCACCTTTTATTCCGGCCTCGCATAGACTACTTGTATAGACTATGCTCGAGACGCTTAGACTCAGCCCGAGGATATGGATCCAAGCATCTTTGCAGGAAGGCCACGTGCCCACTGCCCCTCCATCCAACACCAACGGCCTTGAAGAGAACACGATGCCGTAGACGACAAGCGGTGTCTCTGTGCATACAACTATAAGAGAGATTGCGGCCCTAAGGCTCTGAGGCAACAGGAACCTCGGTGGCTGCAGTATCTGACCCCCCCCCCCACCTCCGTTGCATAGCTTGTAAATGCTTCGATTGTACGGAGCCCCTCCAGGCGTTGAAGCTGGCCCGCTCAAAATCTCCGATCAGCGCGACCGAATTGGACAGGGCATCACCAGGGGGCGAGAGAGGGACAGCACCCGCACAAACATCCTAACCCTCGGTATGGGGGAAGTCACCCGCTCGGCTGCAACAGGCGTGGAATCCCAGGTTGTAGTTGGAAATGACAGGCCAGCTGGCCATGCTTGTCGGGTGAAGCTCTTGGAATCGATGTGAGTGAGTGAGGTGATGGAATGGTGTGCTGTCCTCCTGCCGGTACCACCGACTGATGTGTACAGCAGTAGCTCGCCCTGGTGCCGGGCGCCTCAGAGAAACGAAACTTGTCCCAAGATCCCAAGACAGCTGTGTGTGTTGTCTGGCTGAGAGGAGATCGGAGTCGGGTGTGTGCCATCTTGTCACACTCCGTCATGGAACTGGAAGTTGATGGTGAGCCAGCGCATCTGGAACATTTTCAGATGATGCTGCTGTGCCGCGCGGCCGGGCCATTGGGCGGTCAGAAAAAATCCGGGCTGGCCTTACCAAGCCTCGCCCCACCCACACGTGCCGACAGCCTCCCTTCCATACGCACGATCCACGCCTATGCCCGGGGCACATATCGAGACAGAGGCAATGTCTATGAACAACCGGAGGTGCAGCGCGTCTGCTGTCTCTCCCATGGTAGAAACCGTTGTGGCAGCCGAGCCTTTCATCGGTCAACAAACGAAAAAAAAACGTGTGCGTGTGTTGCGGTTGGTCCGCAACAGCAGTTAGTGTCTCTCTGTCGTCACCCACGCACTATAGTAGCGTAGTGCTGTGCCTGCTACGGCTGTGCTCTGCCATGTCCTACCTCAACCACGCAAAGGTATGGCTTGCTAGTTGGCGAGGAGCAAGAGATCCAGTTTCGACGGTAAAATGGATGCAGCGGATTGTATTAGTCAGTGTAAATAATAGTAAGTTTCCCGACAGCTGACATGCGACGAGACGCAACATACGTGTAGTAGTGAGAGGCGAGAGAGAGAAGAGGTGCTGGACACAACGACCGCCGCTGTCTTGGAGACAGCACTATTGATTCAACAAACCCTCCTACTGTTGCACTAGGCAGACGCACAGCAAGGAGAGGAAAATGGCCGGTAGAACAACCGGTTGGTTGGATAATAGCCCGTCCGGCGGCAGAGCGACCGTTTTTTTCTTCACGTATGCATGCATGCGTACACCACAGGTCGGTGATGCACCTATGATAAACATCCAGGATTGTTCTCAAAAGGATTCCGTCCGCCTCTTAACTCTTAACGACAACTCAAGCCGCCGCCGGCAGAACGAAGCCATGATGATATGCTACTATGATACCTGCCGCATCGATTGCCGACAAGGAGATACTCGACAAATTGAGGGCACACAGCTATGCATATAACAGCAGTTCCACCGATGTTGTATGCGTGTATGTGAGAGGTGTGAGATGCGGTTCACGCTCAGAACACGACCGATCCAGCATGGTTGACAGCAGCATAGCTTGCACGCCACTCAAAGAAATACGCATGCGGATTGTTATTCTTTGACTTCGTCGCTTGGTCGTATCCAGGGGTTTACATGTGTCTGCGTAACAGCAGTTGTGGTCCCGGTATAATGCCGGCGAACTCGGCTGGACGGCACCGGCATTATAGCAGGCCACCGGCATAATTATAGGAGAAAATAATGCCGGGACTAAAATATAAATTCGGCCTAAATTGTGCCGGCTCCGGCATCATTAAGGTTCTGAGAAGTCCGCTCTACTGCCGGTATGTACCGACACTTTAGGAAATCATCGAGCTATTCGGCGCGAAACGTGATCGGGAAGACAGTGAATGCCGTGTAAGGAGGTTTGGTAAGCATGCCGCGGACGAGCATCATTCAGCGAGGCGCGGTCATCGATGGGCCGTATCTCATCACTCCATGTATCTGTGGGTCTGCTGCAGTCTTTCGTAGTTTATGCACAGCAGCGTCTGTGCACAAGCTCTTCCTCAAGTTATCATTCGAACCCGATCCCATCTCCGACTCGCAAAACACACGCAAGATATATCGTAACGCAAACATACATGGAAAACAAACACAGCAAAAGACCAAGAACATCTGAACACACTCATTTACTTCTATCTTGAGCAACATACTCCGAAGTACGAAACATCTGAGTGCACCCCATGTATTTTTCTGAACTGGTCCCGCCTACGTTACGTGCGCTCCCCCCGCAACCGGAATGTTACACAGGAGAATCCAAGCAAAAAAGCATGCGACTACATGTGATGTTGTTCCACGTAGCTTATGGTATACTAAATAGGTGTGGTGTTATCAGGTTCGACACAATACACAATAAACTCAAACACAATTGTTGGGGCAGAACCCCTATCGAAACACGCCCCGTTCTTGCCCGTTGTTGTATTTTTTCTCACGACTACTTGAGTGATTGGCTGACATGTTCGTGTTTGCGACTTCCCCGCCCTGCTACTTTCAATATGGATTGCGCGTCGTAGCGTGACATGCCTACAGACCAAGAAGCCTTCATGGCAGAAGACTCGCATCCTCCACCTGTCTACACAGCTGGAGGACTCCATGTTCAACTCCAAGACATGCCTGGTGAGCCGTCCGTCTTCCAACACCGTCCGTCTCTTTTGTGGAAGGTGTACGACAATAAGACAACATGACAGAAAGGGTACCCACATGCACCGTTGTACAGTGTTTTTGTATTTGGCGAGGCAACAGGATGATGCCCCATTCGATTGAAACCGTCACATTTCACAAGAAGGTTTTTGCCCAATCAACTGTTTTGTCGGTTGCTTGACAATCAGGCGGAATACTCGGACACGTCGACCCTGTCTGCGAGGATCAACCACCATTGTCGTCTCCTGGCAACCATCAAGACAGCGGCCAAGCCGCTGGCAGCCGCCAACTGGGGGGGGCTACACTCCTTCGCCGGAACCCCCATGAGCGGTGGGGTCGGCCCCAGCAGCAACTCTGCTGTGCCAGGACAGCAGCCTTGCCCAGCCCAACCGTCGCAGGCGGTTCGTGGAGAATTGACTGCAGGAGAGGGGGACAGTGGCGAGCGGGCAGGTCCTGTTGGCAGCGGCGGTGTTGCGGGCTCGCCGCCGCCGTATGCACTAGCTGGTTTTCCTGCTAGAGCTGGAGCAGCGACGGCCAGCCCCTCTCTTGTCCCGACGGCTCTGACTGGACAACAACAAGAACGACAGCAGGAGCAGTTGCGAGGGGAGGAAGGCGGGAACGGCTGGAGTTCCCCCCGTAGCTCCCATGGGCAGACCACCGAGGACGACATGGACGACATGGAAGACGACAGCGATGACGGTGACGAGGACAAACCAGACGACGAGGTCGAAGTTGTAGCCTCTGCTGACCGGTCTCTGCAGAACCGGGACTTGGGTGGTCTTCCTGCTACTCCCATGCAGGAGGATGAAAGGCAGGATGCGCAGCAGCAGCAGTTGGTGGATGCGTTAGCGGCCGCGTCGTCGCTTGGTGACCGAACGCGCAAAGGAAACGACGGGAGCTTGCCCGACAAGGCTCCGCAGGTTGATGAACTATTAATTCTGGAGGACGGGCATGGGCACGAGATGGGGATGAAGATGGTGCAACAACACCCAAAGGCGACAGAGGCGGTGAGACTGAGAACAGGCAGAAGAAGACGAGTTACGTTTGGTTGTTTGGTCCCGATCGGTTGTTGTTTGGTTGTCGTGGTATCCTACGTTTGTATGTTCGTCTTTTTTATGTGTTTCGCCGTAGTACTATAAGGCCCAAGATAGTGTCTTGCACTATTTAGGGCCCAGGAGAGCTTCGGCCTGGGACCGTACTCAGAAGGACTCCTCAGTACGAGCCCCCCCGCCCCCGCCGCCGTCCCTGCTCCCCAACACACGCGTTGCTCTCTCTTTTCGCCGCTTGCGGTTCGTGTTCACATGCGAGAGGGGTACTGAGAATGACATAACTCTTTTCGTGAGGTTAGGATGCGAACAATCGTACTCCGTACTCACTATCCCAGGAGAAGAATTCAGAGCACCTACTGTAGTATATTAGCTGTAACATGTACAGGGTTGCTCGCTGAACTACCGGACCGAATTTCTTCTGCTTTTGCCGTCGCACCGTAGATATCAATGTCTAAATTTTAATGTTGCTGTTGGGCGCTTTGGTTGGCGTGATGGTGGAGTGGTGGAGTGCTGTTTGCCGAAACGGGGATTACGGACCGTTACAAATCTGCACGTTGTCTGTCGAGCCCATCAGATGTAGTCGCCCCTCCCTCTGCCAGCCTTCACCTTATTATCCACCTGCTGTTGTTCCCTTTCCCCCACGTTGCCGGAGAAGGAGGTGAAGCAGCATGCGCTGCGGCTTCTTCAGTCCCGACTGCTGCTGCTGACGCACGCGTCGACTTGCTCGGAGGACATCGGGGACTGCCGTCTGGCCCCGCTTTGCGACTCGGTGCAACAGCTGCTGCGGCACATGCAGTCTTGCGGAAACAAGTGAGCCTTTGTCTTGTGTTTTCATTATGCTACGTCATTTCAATGCAGAATTGGCGCTGCCTACGACAATGGTGTACACCAAAAGCAGTAGTTAAGACCGATAGGTTACGTCGCATCGTATGCGTTTGCAGATGCAGTTTTTTTTTTTTTTTTCTTCACTTCAAATCAGCGCTCACAGCACTAGTGCCGTTTATTCCAACCCGTGGTCACACAGAAGAGCCTCTCTCTACCCTCCCCTCCTGCGGTACTTCGCCTTCAATTTTTTAATGCGAGAAGAGTTCAGCACTCTCTTCCCTCTAGCTTAGGCTTACTCTAGCATGAAGGGGGCTGCTGTATTTTGAGTTTTGTCTCTCTCTGTCCATGGCCATAGCCCCACTTTGCATAGTCATCCGCCCCAATGGCACGCGTGAGACCTTTATGCTGACAGCAGCAGCAGCAGCAGCAGCAGCAGTAGGTCGCTTGTTTTAATTTTGATGTCATTTTCCAAGAATGCCGTGACGTGACTCTATTTCCAATGAAGGGTAAGGTTAATGTTTCTTTTGAGATGGGAAGAGAAGGTGGCTTTTGTCGCGAACTCCCATACAAAGTAGCGTCTCGAGATGTGCAAAAGTTCTCCCCATGTCCCGCCTTCCCAGGTAATCGCATCTAGAAAGAGGCTGCTACCGCACCGTACCGTTCCGTACCGTGCCACGGCGGTTCTCGTCCCACTTTAATTTCCACTGTGTGACGTCATGATGCGATGGTGTTATTCCTGGTTATGACATTTCCTGGGATATCACATCGCGTTGTGGCATGATTTACTGCTACGCGTACACGAGTTCCGCCATCCCTTTGGCATGGTGCATGGTGTATGATTTGGCTGGAAAACCGCGCTAGTTCCCTTAGTCACTCTCGTGCACCATACTTACTAAACTCGAATGCCTCTGTCATGACGCATGGTCTTTGTAAAATGGCAGGAAGTCTTGCGGGTTCCCCCACTGCAAGTCCTCTAAGGCCGTTCTCCACCACAAGCACATGTGCACGGACTCGGCCTGCGGGCTGTGCGGCAGCGTGCGAGACCTGTCGCAGAAGTGCTTCTGGGCAAACGCAAGGGTGAGCGATGGATCCATCATTAGTGATATGAATACATGAACAATTAACAACAGTGGTTGTGCCTTTCAAGCTGTGTGTCAATGTGGCGGCCACTGACTTGACTGGCGACATTACGGTCTTTCGTGGGGTCCACGTGGCACATGTGGTGTAGTGGTGACTTGTTGAGTGTGACTCGTGGATGACTATTGTTAGTGTTATGTGTTATATATAGACGGAATAGATACAGACGCATGATTTTTCTTGTGGTTTAGCAGTATGTCTTGCGTCTGTCTGCCCTTCACACCAATCTACGAAACATTTATTGTGGTCAAACCAACGAAGTGTAACCCACCACCAATCCTGTTACTGAAGGAAAAATGCTACTGCTATACAAAAACACAGAATCGAGAGAGAGGCCGCACAGGGCAGGCCAAAATAAAACCAACGCACTATCATACGGTTGTCCGTGCTGACCGTTCTGTCTTGTGTTGCGTGACGTGCGATGCTGTCCATGTTGACTGCTGTGTTGTGTGATGTGCCGTGGATGGGTGGATGCAGCACATGCACAAGCGTCGTCTGGAGGAGAGCCACGAGGAACGACGCAAGAAGCGTCAGAGTGAGGGCAAGACAGTCGCCCGGCCCCGCAAGATACTGGTGAGGCGAAATTCACTTGTTTATAGAGTGTAAGTGCTTGATGATGATGATGATGATGCTTTTTTGTGGAGCGAACTCACGTGTTATGGTGTTTGGACGATGATGCTTTTTCCGTGAGCCAGCCGAATTCGTTTGTTATTTTTTCTTTTTTTTTTTGTCGCCATTGGCGTGGTTGTTCGTTTTATCTTGTCATGTCATGTCATGTCGTGTTGTGTTGTGTTTCTTCTTTTTGTGTAACCTGTTTTTTTTACGGTCCGTATTCCACCTTTGCCATTCATTCTTCTAGGTCGCACCCCGCTTGAAGAGGGCAGAGACAGCAGCCAGTTAGCCAGCAAAGAGGGCTCACGCCGATCCGATCGTTGCTGCCTCTTTCGTTGGTTATAGTCCTCTTCTTCGTTCTCACAATACCTTTCTTGTATTTCTGTTTCTGTATGCTTTTGCTGCTCTTGTGCCTGTCGCTTCTCTTGTACACGCCCCTCTTCTGTCCCTGTTCCTGTGGGAGCAGGCAGAGAAAGCCAAGGCAGGGAAGGAGTGCTGCTCTGGACTCGACGAACAAGGGAACGACCTGGGCGACATTTCGCTGGGATTTTTCCTCAGACAAGTGAGACAAGGGAAAATTAAGTGTTTTTATGGTTAGGAGCTCAAACAAACGCGAGCGGTTATCTCCGTGACCATGAAGCCATTCCATTCCCGTAATGTACTCTTATCTTGAGGGGCATTTTTTCTCTAACTTTTGGTAGAGCCGCGACATTTGTTATGGTCAAGCCGAAACGGACGTTTGCGTAAGAGCTATATTATAGTACAAATATCTAGTAATTTAATGTTAGGGTTACGATCCACTTTTTGTGATGCCGTTTCACTCCTGTGCCCCTTCCGCTCCTCCTTTTCGCATGCTGATGCTGACCTCTCCCCCGACCCCCTCTGCGCTATATTTTCTCCGCGGTTTGCTCCTGTCCCGGTACGATACGGAATGGTACGGTATGGTACGTTCAGGACAAGGCCGTCAAAGCACGGAAGAAGATTATCACAGCGGCTCAGGACAACGATACCAACACCAACACCACCGCCACCGTCTACGCATACACCGGCGGCAGCGGCTTGCTCCCTTGGGCTCTACAACAGCACGGCCAGGGACAGCTGCAGCGCGAGGCCGACCCTAGTACAAGCCCTTCCCCACCGGCCCGCGCCCAAGTCGGAAGCGAGCGAAGCCACGACCGCGGCACGAAGGGTCACGCCTCGGAGCTGGCGCCGTCGCAAGCTTGCGGCCAGCCGGCACAGACGTCCCCACCGCCGGCCCTTGCATCTTCGCCGCGATCCCCTCGGCTGGGACACCCGCGGTCCCTGTCGGTGTCGTGGTCGTCGCTGTCCTTAACGGCGTCTTCTCCGACACCGGCCGTGCTTACGGCGTCTCCAGGAGGTATTGCTACGGCCACCGGCCGAGACGAGGTTGATCATGATTCGGAGGACGTTTCCGGCGGGGGTTTCGAAGCGAGCTCCGTGGAGGCTTCCTCGGGGGGAGGGGACGGGGGACAGCGAGGCGAGAGGAAGGCGGCGGCGCGAGGCGGCGGAGGGCTGACGGTGGTGATCCCTCCCGTCGGGTTGGGGGCTGTTGTGGGACACCTGCGGAGCCCCAGCGAGATAATGCTGGACGATATCGCGGAGTCCCTGGCGGATACCACTCGAAAGCCTTCCTTCGCCAGGATGCAGAGCGTTCAGGTGGGAGTTTTTTTCCTTGTGTGGCTGGTGTCTTTGAGCTATGGTACGGTATACATCAGTAGCGCGTGTGTCCAGACGTGGAAGTTCGCGTTTAGATGTGTTCGTCACGAGCGATTGTGCATGTGCCGATGTCTAAAGACCAAGCGAAAACACCGGGTCCTACCTATCATAGCCTCCTATGTATCACGAGTGGGAAGAGCACAAACTATAATAGTTTAAATCACGTCGTTGATTGGATCGCCTCCCTCCCCCCCCGTCCCTTCCTTGGGTCCTTTAAACATCATACAGGCCTTCCTCGACGACCATGTCGAGCTTAGGGAGAGCGCCAGCTTCGGAGACGTTAGCGCGATGGTGGAGCAGTGGATGTCCCTCGAAGACACTGGCAAGAACACCATGGACGCCGATGCCGATGCCGACAACATGGACGAGAATGGCATGGGTGCCTTCAGCTTCTGACTCGCCGCCGTTCCAAGGACAGCCAGCAGTGGGAGGGGGGGGGCTCCGTAGTTTCATGCTGAGGGTGGTACTAGTCTCGGGATTTGCATCGAACACTGTAGGCTACAAGTCAGCAAGGTGTGTGTGAAAGGTAAAGACGGCGGTCCGCGCAACACAGCAGGTACAACAGTAGTCCGCGCGGGTCTCCTAGAAGCCTCATTGATTCAGTAGGAAGGGGGGTACGATGGGATACGAAAACTATGTGGGTTGGGGCCATGCTGCCGTACCCTCAATCGACCGCAGAAGTTTCTAGCTTTCCCCTCGCCTGTTCCTCGCGTAGTGGCTGATGGAAAGCAATGGTAGGGTTTCTTGTGGTGCGCACATGTCAGGTGCAAGTCTTAAGGCTGCTCTCCAGCAAAGACCGTGGGTGAAAAGAGTATCTAATAGCGTGGTAGAGGCGTGATGGCGGCGATGGTTTTGTTGTCGCCAAACAGGTGTCGGTGTGTCAACGATCGATGCCTTATGGTGTGGTGGTGGGTTGATTGTTGAGATGTCGTTCTTGTCTTGGTGTCTTTCTTGGTGCTCTCAACACTGCTGTACAAACTCATGGATCATTTGTCATAGATGTGAAGGTGGTTGTTGTCTTGTTATGCGTTTGTTTGGGTCGGTTTGCATAAGTTTCATGTGGGGGGCTGTCTCTGTACTCTGTACACCCAAGCCTGATCCACGTATCAGACCACACGAGGAGAGGAAGAGTGGCAGCAATGACGCCATGTCGTGAAGCAAACTTCTCGAGGTCTTCGTGTTGTGTCTAGGCATATTAGACGGGAGAAGGAAGTTGCTGCGCGATTTGGCGGGCAAAGGGAGGCGCGGTGGAGCCATGGGGACATTTGTGGCAACTTTTTCTTGTTGCAGTCATCGGTGCAGCTTCACGAACGGCGACCCAGCACGATGAGATTAGGATGTCTCCATGACGTCATGCATGCATGCTGCTGCTGCTGTTGCTGTTGCTTTGGGGGTATCGTTGACGTGTCGTAACGTAACTTTGCCAAAAACGTGTGAAGCAGTGCAGCCAAGAGCTGGTGTTGTTTTTGCGTTGTTGACACTCGGTTCTTTGTTGGTTTGACAAGTGAAGCGTATAAATGCAAAAATATGGGCGAAAATGGTTGCTAGAACTTTCGAAGAGAAAAGGCAGGTTACTGACTGTGTGGTTAGACGAGAGGACTCACACGGTAAGACGGAGGGTTGGGTGGATATAGAGATAAAGAGTACAGGAGTTCTATAGACTAGAGGAGTTGGGTTGACAGGCGGGTGGTTTTGTTGATTTGCTGAATGTCTGCGGGGTGATGCTGATTTTCGTTCTCACACGCGCGGGGTAGCTACCGTATATGTAGGACTTAGTTAGATGTGCTGTAATTTGTGTGTGACGCGTGTCTACTGCCTTCGGACAAGAATCAATCGTGATGTGGTTTTTGCTCACTCGTTGTGTTTGATATCACGATATCACTGACTGCTGTGGGTGTCGTGCGCATGTTGTTGTGGTTTGTTTGGCGTAAATCGATAAAGAAACCCTTGGGTATGGTGCTGCTGCGCGTTGCGCTTCGAAACAGGGCAGAAATTGGCCATGCCCACAGGAAAAAAAGGGGGGCGGGTCGGGTGGGTCGCAATGATGAATGTTGCGTCTATGTACTCGTGCGTGGAACACGGGAGGCAACAGCGGGGTGGTGCTGTTTGTTTGGGGATGAGGGGGGGCTGGACAAATAGATATAGAGGAGGCGTTCTTTTGGGTTGGACCAAGACATGACACTACGTCTGTCTGTCTGTCTTTTACCACAACTAGCAGTTGGAAACCAGCTTGTTGACGAGGTTTTCTGCTGGCGCCTTTGATAAGAGGCTCTCCTATCTACTGACGGACTGGAAGCCTCTCTCGATTGCTAGCCGTGTCCGAAGTGTCCTTGCGAGAGAACGGACAAGTTTTTTGTTCTCGTTGTTTTGGTCTCCGATGCCATGTTGTCGATCGATCGGGCGTCGTCGTGTTAGGGCGAGTTGACACGCTGTGTCCTTTGATTCTCATGGCAACGCCCACCGCACGATAGTTCGGCTAATTGGCATTCGCAGCTACCAATAGCGCACATAGCCACATAATATAGAAGAGGGGTGCGTCGGATTTTTTTAGATATTATTTAGACTACAATGAATGTAGGAATCGCATTGTTCGCGCTTTGTTTTCAACGTGCAGTGACGGAGTGAGGGCGAAAGGGAACACGACTCTGAGGTTAGAGGGGGGAAAGTGTCGGGTTTGGAGTAGTAGTAGGACTCTCAGCATGCACGTAATACATGCGTAGATAGATCATAGAACATTAAAATGTTAGTCTGCTGTAGAAGATATTTAGAAGTACGACCTATTTTTTTGGGAATGGATGGATGGATGGTGGCGCATTGATTTGTTTGGTGGATAATATAATTCGTTTCATAATTTTTATCTGTGGCTCGACGGAGAGCGTTGTTGAAGGCCACGCAAGACAGCATAATGACTACACCTATCATTTGTTGTGCAGACGAGACGAAGATGAAATTTGTCCTTTGCAACACTCACAGCGAAACGTACACACTTTAGACCACGCCTTGTAGACTAAAGCTGTTGACGGCTTGACGGCGGCCACGTCATATCCCACACTCCTGAAACGGCGGGGGGGGGGGGGGGGGGTGGCCTTGCCTTCCTCCCCAAATTTAACCTCCCCCTCCGGGGTGTTAGCTTTTTCGGAAACCCCAATAACCCCCCCCCAAACTTAAAAAAACATCCCTGGGAATTTGGGGAAACCAAAGAAAAAACCCCCCCTCCGGCTTTAGGGGCAAGATTTATTTTCCGGGAGTCCACCGCAGGGGGCCGGAAAACCAAAATTTTACCCAAAATTCCCCCACCCCCAAAAAATCCCCCCCCCCCACTTTTGAAAAAGGCCCGGACCCCCCCCCGGGGGGGGCGGATTGGCACCCAAAACCCAAAAAAAACCTGGGGAAAAAGGGGGGGGGCACCGGGGGGAAAACCCCCCCGGTTAATCCTAACCCGGGGGTTGACTTTTTTCCGAGGGTTTTTTTTCCCAAACCGCCAACCCCCCACCCCAAGGATTTTTGGTCCCCCCCGGTCCCCGGCCCCCCCCAACTTGGTCTGGACTTCCCCGGGCTCCCCCAAAAAGGAAAAAAAAATTTAAGCTAACCAGCCCTTTCCTTTCGGATGGGGAAGGGAAAGGGGGATTGGGGGGGGCCGGGGGGGA